TCCTGCATTTGATGGCAAGAAAAAACTGTAATCACCTCTAAGTTTTGGAGGGCCTGCAGTAGCTCAAGTGGAAACAACTTCCTTATTCCCGAACAAAACGCTACATGAAGCTTTTTAAGATTGGAAAAGACGTGCGGTGGTGTTGCTTCTCCTTCCACTCTCACAAGTTCACACAACCTATGCAATCCCCAAAGCGACAGCTCTTCAAGCTTATCAAATACTGGACAACGCAACGAGGAGGAGGAGGAGGATGAGTCCAACTCAACCACGTACTCTATCTCTTCACAAGAGCTAATATTGCATATCCTCAACTCATTTGCTTTTTCTAACAGAGCTCTTTTGCTTAAGCTGCTTCCCGTCTTTTTAAGGCTAATTATCCACAAATCTTCAAGCTTATTTGGAAGCACTATACATTCTTCCCCAATCTCGCAATCAGTAATTACAAGCTCATGTTTGCTCCTTCTAAGCCTGTATTGTGCACTCCCAACTTCAAAACTGTAAGCAGTAGCCCTTCGGAAATCTTTGAACTTGTTGACAAAATAATTGAAGTCTTGTATGCCATCAAAGTTACATTCTAAAGTCTCCAACTTCTTCAGTCTAGCAAAATCTTCAAAATTTCTCACTATTGTAGTTTCTCGCCAACAACGAACTGCCAAATACTGGAGACTGGAAAGGTTAAGTAATATTCCTGTTTGAATCTCTTTTAGATTTGGACAAAATAACAAATCAAGATATTCAAGACTTATCAACATCTCCATGCCTTGTGGGAGCACCTCAATCCCTGCCCTGTGCAGGTCCAACTTCTTCAATCCCCTGAGGTTTGCCAAGGAAGGCAAGTACTTTAACTTCTTGCAAAGTTGTAACCGCAGGGTAGATAGATTCTTCAATTCAGAGATGGAATTAGGTAGTGTCTCAATAGCAGTGCCAGAGAGATCAAGAACCTTCAAAGTAAGCATCTCCCCAAAAAAAGATTCTGGAATCTCTGACAAATTAGGATTACTTGATAATATCAAAGTCGAAAGAGTCGAACATTTTGGGGATAAACTAAGAGGAACTTTTAAAATGTTATTTTCCATTAGAGACAACTTCTTAGGATCTTTTACCCAACCATGCTCATCTGGTAGCTCTACCAAATTCATACCAGCTTTTATCATATATCCAAATTCAGGACCAATGCTTATGATAGCCATATCTCTCACTACATCATGCATCTTAGCCCCAGGTATATGTTTTACATATCCACCAAATCCAACTGTCTTGTAATCTTTCTCTAATAAGAAATTTTTTTCAAGCCTATCTATAATAGCATGACCCCTGTTATAAGCTACTTCTCTACTTGGCGACCCATCAAATATTCCTTCATCAATCCAACATTCTATCAACTCCCTTCTAGAAAACACATAATCCTCCTTAAAGAAGGAGCAATAAAGAAAACAATTCTTGACTTCCAAACTATCCAACCGATCAAAACTAAACCTTAGTCACTTAAATATCTCATCATTTGAATCTTTCACACTCTTCACACGATCTCTTAATTCAGCCAATGCATTTCTCCACACATTAACATCATCAACTCCCCTCATGCTCCCAGCTATCACAACAATGGCCAGTGGTAAGCCTGCACAATCTTCCACAATAAGCTCTAAGATTTCTTCCAACCCTGGAACTTCTAAAACAACATCCCCAACTGTATTGAGGAATAAATTTAGAGACTCCTCTTGTGAAAGAGGTTGCACTTTAACAATCTTACAACGCATATAACTGCATACTTCAACTGATCTACTAGTGACAACTACTTTGCACCCATTCTGCGCCTTTGGATCCGGAATTCCAACTTCCTTAAGAGAGAACTTTTCCCATACATCATCTAAAATTAGCACAAATTTCACTCTTCCCATTATATCCATTAGTGCCCCCGCTCTCATCATCACTTCATCATCATCTAGAAGTCTTTCAACCATAGCACCAGCAATCTTCTTTTGTAATTCAAAAACATTGAGAGGATGTGATACAGTAACCCAAATGACTTTCTGAAATCTAGTCTCCCTCTCTAAATCATTGTGGAGATTCTTCATGATCGTAGTCTTTCCAACTCCACCAATCCCACAAACTCCGATCATTCCAACCTCATCACCCATCAAGTACCCCCAAATTTCTTCTTTAGTAGAAATTTCCCCCACTAAATTCTCTGTTGGAATTCTGTTTCCACGAGCTGGAGCTCTGTCAATAAAAAGGCTTCCAGGAAAACTACCTTTTTCAAGCATCTCCCTCACCACATTAATCTTACTACAAACAAGTTTGTCAAGACAGGCACGCTTGTAGCACTTGATTCCCTGCACCTTTTCTAAAAATGCTTCTACATCAACATTAATGTCTTGCACTTGCTTAAGCCAGTCTTGCACTTCTCGTCTGACCATTTGTCCCCTGCGAGCCTCTGCTACTTCTATTCCTGATTCTATATCTTGCTTTCGGTTGGTTAGAGTGTCCAATTTTCTTCTCAGCTCACCCACATCATCATTAAAATTTCTATATTGATCTATACAGTTGCAGGTTGGAGTACCACAAATGCAACTCAATGCACTGAAGATTGCCCCAACTATGTCCGCCATTAATTGGTAATTTAAGGTCCTGAAACATAATAAATAGTGTGAATAAAAAATACTTCTTCTAGTGTTCGTCAACAGAAAATTCGAAAGCACAAATAAGCAATAAAAAAACAGTTAAACTAAATTGCCAATTCCAACCATATATAGGAGGTATAAAACCATCCATTACGTACCAAAGGAAATGAGAAACAAACAACTATATATATTATATAAATGAATAA